TAGGACAGCTGCAGTGTCCCACACCAACTCTAAGTATTGGGAAGAGTATATTGTACTCTTCCAGTACTTCTCCTTTCAATGTAATAGCCAGTCACAAATGTAAGTTTTCAGGGCATTGCAGTGGCTGGTGGCTAGAACCCTTACCTTCTAGTTTTTCAGTGGCTTTCCTCCAAAATACAATCATATTGCTATATTTAATTGGTTTAGATACAAAATTAAACCTTCAGTATAAGCATTAATGTGGTAAGGACATTAGATTGTAAGCTCCTTTTAATGATGAGAAAGGTTATATCTACTGCAAACTCTGCATAATATGCTGTGCTGTATAATTATAGGAAATAATACAAATAAGTGATGAGAGTACAGTAATCTGAAATCTTATTGGTATCATTGTTGGATTTTGCATATCACCTTTTAGCATTGTCCTGTTAAATATAACCATTGTGCCAACAAAAGCACAAGGAAACCCATTTTTCTGCTTCAGAGGGCTGGAGGCTGTGAAAGAGTGTAAAACTGCACCGTGTTGTATGTTCATTTTCCCATGATTTAAAGTACTAATGTGACTGCATTTGATGGCCTGCTACATCGCCCCAGGTACCAGACTTCCTTGGAGACTGACATGAAGCCAGCAATACTCAACAGATGAAGAGGCTTGCTACTAGCCCTGAGAGTAGAGCACAGCAGGGCATAACAATGGTGGATCAGAAACACTATAGTGTTTCTTTTTTATACATTCCACTCTGTTTTCTTGATCTACAATTTATGACACAAAGTTATTTGCACTAAGAGTCAGTGCACCTGGAGCTCTTTGATGAAAACTATACAAGCACAAGTGCTAGATCCAGAAGATCATGATGAATAGTGTGGCTTCAAGCAGCAGTCTTCTAAGCTGTCAAACACTTCCCAACTGGCTCAACTAGGTAGCACAGACATTATGTAGGAGTGCTACTGACACAAGAGATGCTGCAAGCAGCATTCTACTGGGAAGGGGCACATAGCAATGGCTTTGGCAAGCACTCTCAGTATGCACTGAACTATTTGGCTCTATACATCCTTTTAAGCCCAGTGCAAGAAGAATTATCCCCTGCCATAATAAATGTGCACCTGGTGCCCCCTTTTGCTGCCTGTACATACACATAAGTTAATTCAGAAGAACAGCTTGCATGCAGAACACAACGGCAATGGACAAAAAAAAATAAAAAAAATACAGTGTATGAATTTCTACATGCAAACAGCTTTATAGATGTAAGTACTTACTTTATAAATATTAAAATGTGACAAAAAGGGTATAGAATTCTTCCATGCTTGAAAACGCTTCATTTCTGAAAGGTATAAAAAGTCCACGAGAGTACATGCAAAACCAACAAAAAAGAAAAAACTTTTCCCCCAAGTTTGGAGGATGCCAAAGTTTTTGTAAGAGTTCTGGAGCAAACAGAGAGGTGACAGCATGCCACACATTGACATCCCACACTCTATTCCCGCTGCTTGTGGCTAGATGTTGGTCTCACCATAGAGATCAGCCCCAAAGAGGGAAACAAATGGGAGGATGACTGCTGGGCAATGCCGGATGAAAGCTATTCTGAGACCAAGACACAGGCAGGGATATTGTGGGTCCTTCTGTTGACACTGGCTATTGCATAGTTATTCTCCATTCTAAATATACAAGCAACACTTGAGGACACTAACCACAAATTTCATCGGAGCTGCATTTTTAATGCTAACAAACTGAGCCGCCTGCTCAAAAAAGTGGAAATATGTTGCATGTGAAAGATATTACATTACATAATAAAATGTAGTATATGTAAACAAATCCTTAAGAAGGAGGTTGTCTGGATTTCCCCAGGAATGGTAAACTTTTTATCTGCCAAATGACATAATAAACTTAAAAAAGTTTTGCTCAGAGTATCTTTAAACAAAGAAAAAAGCTTCCAAATCAACCATAAAAGCACACTGACTAGGGATTTATCTACAGGTCTTGAAAAAGTTGTAAAAACAGATCAAAAAGTGGAGACAGACATATGATCTGCCCTATGAGTCAAAGCAGATAACATTCTGTACTCGTTTCACAAGTACAATTCTTGAGAAACATGTAACAGGACGTTTTCTTTGCCCTAAAAGCAGTGTTTTCTGTCCGGCTGCTCATTTGCTTTCCTTAGTGTCTCTTGTCCTGACATCCAGAGGAATTAAAAAACACAAGTGCATAGACTACAACTAGCCTAAGGCACAGCAGCCAACTTTGTACATCAGATCCGCTTCACCAATACACTGACATCTGTGGGACCCGAAATGTGACAGAAATCTTTCTCCGGCATTGCTACATGTCTGCAGACTGCAAGATGCACCGTGAAAATGAGCCATTCCAATCAGCTGAAAATCCCACAAGGAATCCATTAAAGCAGCATTGTAAGACAGCGTAGGATTATTCCCGTATCCTGTGTTTGTAGCTGTTCCAGAGACTAGTGTGGGCAGCCGTCTTTGGTTTTGCTTGGTTCATTTGTAACCGAGTATCCCAGTCGTCTGTGTGCCTCTAACAGAACACTCAGAAACAAGTTGTTCAGAGGGTGTTGTCTATGGTCCCAGCTCATTCCTAGAAGCACAATCTTCTTAGACTGTGGGCCTGCCCTGCTAAAAACAGACACTCTATGGTGTTCACATGGCTAACTGTTTGAATCACAGCCAAAGGGTCAGATTTAACTGCAGGATGGAGAGTTAATTTCCTGTGGGAGCCTCCATTGGGATTTAAAACAGTCCCTCTCTCATCTGTCAACATCCCTTTAACTAGCTCGTTGCCAGAAGAGGCTGCCTCACACTGGACTCTGGGGGCATTGCTGGGCTCAGTAAATGGCATTACAGCTTGGGAAAACAAAGTTACTTTTCCCGTCTCCGGAAATCCGAATCACATTTTTTTTGAACAGCAGTAACTTTGTTTTCTCCTGTAAAAAGGCTTGTTGACAGCATATATGAGTACTCAGAGAAAGAAAAGTGCACAGATACAGACAAAGCTCTAAAGCCCAAGTAGAAGGTAAAATGATAGAGCTGCTGTATTGTTTGACAATGCAAATGTATTACTTTGGGTAGCTATACTGCATTTTCTTTTAACAGGATGAAAATTCAACTGGTGGTTAGTTTTTCAGTGCAGATCTTGTGTTTCTGACTGCTAAAGCCTTATTGTCAGAGCCGTGGCCGGATAGCCACATGGGGCCCTTTAGCACTTGCTGTGCGGCCCTTTACAGATCTAGCACTCAGAAGCAGGAGTTTTCATTTGAAAAGATGTTGTAATATCAGTGATCTCTAAGGCAGTCTAGACTGGGAATATGCTTGCTGCATGAGTGATGAGCGTGAGTTTGGGGCATACCGTGTTTGCCCAAGCAAAACTGTCAGAGCCGCTACACTTAAACTGACATTAAGTTTAGGAGTTAAATCTTAAACATGCTTTAAGTACCATAACTATTACCAAAAATGTATCTTATTTGTAAATCACTCGGCTGTAGATCCTCAAAGCATCTCTGAACTCATGCTGACACTGTCCTGCCTTCTGGAGGGTGGCTACTTTTGTTCCCCATGGTCCAAGTGTGTGTTGTAAAGTAGCTACCGCTCCAAGCTCGCTCCTGTAATGGACTACAATCTCAATACAAATTAGTAAACTAAACGTAAGATTATAGTTCATCATGGGAGCGAGCTTGGAGAGTTGGCTACTTTACAACACTCACAGGGACCATGGGGAACAAAAGTAACCACCCTCCAGAAGGAAGGACATGACACAGGTAGCTCAGAGGTCCCTTTTACATTACCCACATCCCAATAACTACACCACACAACAATGGGAATTTAAATGGCCACAGCAGCCTTTTATTATAAACACTTATAAATAACATTATAAATAACCATATTAACAATATTAACAACCAAACATCGGTACCAACTCGTTTGGTTTCAAGGTCCTTGAAGGCAATTGTACTCTATAAATGGACCAGTATCTGCGGGCACCTTTTCTGTAACTGACTGCCCCCAGCCGCCATACACCGCCTCGGGGACGTAACTAGATTGCCCGCAGACCCACGTTGGTCCAATATTTACCGGTCATACCAAACTGACCGTCCGACTACTGGAGGACACCCATACCACGGATGGGTCCCCCGTCCAGATATGTACCCACTAACCACTGCCTCCAAGGATCCAAACCGCCATCCCCCAGCTGTGACAAATATCCAGAAACACAGACCACCTCCTATGGGGCGGGTGGGAAGTTCTTCCTATCTTGCAGGACTCCCAACTGACCTTCCGGACTCCTCCTTCCTGGCTAACTTTCCTGAAGCCCCTCCTGGACCACCCCCTCCACTAATCAAGTAAGTGACCTTTCTATACCCTTTCTTCTATCTCTCCTTAACTCTTTCCTGTCCTCGTTCCCCTTCCCAGCCTTGTCATGCAGGCCTTCCGCTCATTCCTCTGCTTTCCATAGCTCCAGGCCTTACTGTATCAGCACCAATTCAGAGATGATTTGAGGATCTACAGCTGAGTGATACACAAATAAGTTAAATTTTTGTTAATAGTTGAGGTACTTGAATGTATTAAGATTTAACTTCTGAGTTTAGTGTCACTTTAACAAAGGGGTGGAGAATGTCCCAGCTGCTACTGATTGCACTGGGAGGGTGGAGTTTTGCGAAGGCTTTGGCGAACTCGGTTGGAGTCAAGCCCATGCACATCCCTGGTCCCCTGTCCCTGACTGTCTTCAGTCTTTAACCACTGAAGACAACAAATGTTGCATGTCCACAATCTTTGACAGTCTCCTCTAATATGTCTGTGGCTCCTCACAGTTAATTGTCATATACTGATCATTATGTGTGGCCCTTTGAAGCCATCAGGGGCCACAGTTGAAGCCCCCTATAACTTACAAATTAACAACTGCATAAAACATTTTGAGTGGGCTGGCAGCGCACCTTAAGGTGCCCATACACCTTACAATTATCTGCAGATTTTCTGTGGTCAGATGGAGAAAACAGATTGGCCCAGGTGGAGATTACGCCATCCACACAGTTTAGCAGAGATGGAGGAATCTGTTGCACCTTTTCCATCTGACCACAGAAAATCTGCAGATAATTGTAAGGTGTATGGCCAGCTTAACAGCACAAAAAATTGGAAATGCATGTTTTTTAAAGCACTGCACGCTAATGCATTCCATTTGATCATACAGTGTGCTGGGGTGCCATTGACAATGAATGGCACTGCAATGCACTGCAGGATGCGTGTTGTACCAAGTAAATGTTTGCAATAAGGACACAAAGAAGTGTGTAGAGAGATGTGATGTGAAATAAGACACAAAGGTACATCCAGGGGTAAAAAGGAGAAGTTCACATAAGGTTACTGAAAGTTAAAAGTCTATGTAGTGCTCTGACTTTCAGTTCTGTTGAGCTGTTAAGTCAGACTCAATGATGCAAAACATTTATGCAGGTGTTGTTATGAACTGCAATTTTGTATTCATTTATGGGGATTTCATTTATAATAACATTTTAAAGGTATTTTATCTCCCTATCATAATGTACTGTAAATACTCATAATGAAGCCTGTAAAAAATACTGAAAATATGGCACGGGTTATGTGTTCAAAATATAGATATTTTTGTCAATGTACTCACTATACTGTGGATGTGGACTTGAGCTTTATTTAGCATGCATGTGTTTTATGCATGCATGTGTTTTATGCAAGATTTATGGAAATTTCAGGATAGCGTGTGAAGCCAGTTTTATACAAAATAAGGCTTGGGCAGGAATACTGATAAAGGGCCTTATACCTGGCACACACGGACAGAAGAATCCCAGGCGCTTGGTCACCACTATACCAAAAACGGGAGTTATTCTATTTTTTTTTTTTTTACTTTTTCTATTGTCATTGGCGACACATTAAGTTAAGTAGGGCTGCAACAACTAATCGACTAAGTCGATTATAATCGATGATGGAAAACGTTGTCAAAGTTTTCCATCATCAATTAGTTGACATTCAATTAGTTGCCCTGCTCGTGGCTCCACACATGGCGCACGCCGCACGCCGCTTCTCCTTCCGCCTTAGATCTCAGACCCGCTCGCCGCTGCCAGACCCGCCCGCCCACATCCACGATCGGCACAGGGAGACAGCAAAGGGACACAGGGAGAAGATAAAGCAGATAATGAAGATAAAGTTGCTGGGAGACTGCTCAGGTAAGACTGCCTGCACTTTCCCCCACATGGCACAATTTGCTGTATTGCTGGGATATATTATACAGCGCAATGTACCATCAGCTATAGAGGAATACAAATCCCAGCAAAACATTATACACTATAGGGGTTAATCACAAAGCTGCCAAAGGCAGCCGAGTGAATAGCCCAGCCGAAGTGAAGTGAGCCGAACTACGTTCAGCTATTCACTCAGGCTCAGTACGGCTGATCTCAGCCATACATCGGCTGAAATCAGCCATACATCGGCTGCCTTCGGTCAGCCAAACAAGCCCTGCAAGTTCGGCTGAGCCGGACTTCAGAGGGACTACGACTCAGCTGATCCGACATCTGGATCGGCTGAGCCGAAGCTCCGGCAGCTCACTCGCTGCTATTCGCCCCTATTCTCATTGGGGCTGAATGGCAGTGAGTGAATAGCCGAATGCAGTATTCGGCTTGGCTATTCTGCTCGGTACCTCCGTGGTACCGAGCAGAATAGCAAATCAATGAAAAGAGTAAAAGAAAAAAATTGAAAAAGTATTTTTAGCAGCCTCCCGGCCGGCCGTTAGGATATATTATATCCCAGCAATACATGGTCTGCCCAGCTGTCATTTGCAGGGCGAAAGGCCGGCCGTTGGCCCTGCTTTGGGTGTCACTTTGGCTCAGTCGAGCAGAAGCATATGCCCTCGACTCGGCAGAGCCTCTTGACCCCTGTACGGGCTATAGTGAATAGTCCGTACAGCAGCCCTTCAGTTCTACTGAATCGAAAGGGCTCCGGCGGGAGAAGGATCCTTCAGCTCCTACGTGAATAACCCCCCTGTATGTATAATGTATTGCTGGGGTTTGTTGTATTCCTCTATAGCTGGTGGTATTCTGCATGGCTCTCCACTCCTCCCAAGACCTCCTACTCTCTAGCTCTCTTGTCAAAATCTCCCATGGTCACCTCCAGGACTTCTCTAGGTCTCTCTCATCATCTAAACTCCCTACCCCAACCTGTCCAGCTATCTCCTACTCTGTCTGCCTTTAGGCGATCCTAACGACTCATCTCTCTTTAGGGATGCCTAACCTGCCTCAACCTAACCACTGAACTATCACTTTCTCAAACAATTCATTTCCACACAGCTACCACCTTTTTTATTACTTGCCCCTCCCTTTTAGATTGTAAGCTCTTACGGGCAAGGCCTTCCTTACTATCTTATCTTGATTTGTATTGTAACTGTAATGTTGTCCTTATACTGTAAAAGTGCTGCACAAACTGTTGGCGCTATATAAATCCTGTATAATAATAATATTTTATCTCAATAGTGTACTGTACATAAATCCAGTCAAATCTGAACTACACATATGGTAGCTGTTGCATTAGGCAATACAGACTGATCACCTCTTTGCTCACCCTGTGGCTAGGTAATGAAAGAGCAGCAGCACTAAGATCATTACGAAGATCATCTATCTCGGCCTGTATGCAAGTTCTTAGCCAGCACATGTGCATTCAGCCTAGAATTCACCTTTAAAATGCACTAAACGGTTTCTGAGCTACATTTTCTTTTACTCACATTAGACACTGAGATGTGTACTGTGCTGCCATTCACTGCAAACAAGCTAAAAGCAAATGTACTGAAAACACAGCCTGAAATGTGCACTAAATGTTAAGCTGAGCAAGTACACTATTCCATTACTGCTGCCAGTGCTTCAATTTAATATACAAGTGGGAAAAATGTACCAATCCAGCATAGTATAAATCCAGATACAAGCTAACACTGTACAAAAACATTGCAAAGTGCATAGAGTGCAGTTAGAGTAAGTCAATTAATGATGCAGGGTACGCAGAGGTTTGATTTGGTCATTAGGGTTCCACTCCCATTCATTTCTGCTTTCGCAGTTCTAATTATTATAAGCACATTGCTGGATCCGATCCTTCGCTCAGGATTAATTCAGGTTATTGCCCGCTCCATATTTGGTCATGGCCTATATACAAGGATTCTCTGCACTATTATACTGTATGTATAGTAGGTACAATTTCTTCTTCATTCTGCCTGTCAGGCACAGTAGGCAGTGCACCGAGTAGCAGCTCTAACAGAGTCTGGCATTCCCACGCTAAACATAAACTCTCAAATAGGAGCGGAAATTCATTTATCCAAACACGTCCTTCAGACTGCCATGTTATCAGGAGAGCTTGGCATTTAACCCCTGAAATATTACAGCAAATTAACTCTCTCATGCAGCACTATTATAACAGCATTGGTACAAACTATGTAGAAAGTGCTAGAAAATAATATTTAAGTTGATGATTTTTTACCAGTTATTTCACTTTGCTTTAGTCATGATATAACTCTAATTCTAAGCAAAATTGTTTTTAAAAACAGACTAATTTAAAGTTCTAGATCTAACCTACTGTAAATTCTGTCATTGGAAGGACAGCATATTGGCTATGGAAGGATAGATTTTGTTCCAGATTCAGACCTCCAGATTCAGAGTCTGCAAGGACATGCTGAGGAGGAATAAAGGCCATACAGAGCTCCCATTGTTCTGAAATCTACTACATGTTAAAGTGACACTAAACTCAGGAGTTAAACCTTAGAAATGCATTCAAGTACCTTAACTATTAACAAAACTGGACTTTATTTCTGTGTCACTCAGCTGTAGATCCTCAAATCATCTCTGTATTGGTGCTGACACTGTTCTTCCTTCTGGAGGGTGGCTACTTTTGTTCCCCATGGTCCCTGTGTGTGTTGTAAAGTAGCCACCACTCCAAGCTTGCTCCCATGATGGACTCTCAATACAATTAGTAAACAAAATGGTGCAGTTTTTTCTCTGTTCCCCTGAGAACACAAACATTCTGCGTACAGCCTGGGGGTAGCTTTGGGATAAGCCACAATGGTACTAATACCTGGCGCAGGTGCAGTAGCAGCAGATAAGTAAATCGCTAGGTCGCTACGACACATGTGCCAGGTATTGACACTATTTTGGCTTATTCCAAAGACACTATTACATGTACAGTGTATTAATGAGATGTAAATGTAAACCAGTGACATCCACAATAGCCATATGCATCCAGAGAGGTTCATGAACCAGTATATATTTTAGTAAACTGAAATCTAATTGCCTGAAATAGGTTACTGCACTTTGCTCAGTACCCTTGCCTCTTTGCATTGCCATTGATACCAGAACAATTGGTGAAACTATACTATCTGTATGTCAAAAGCATGCAAAAAAACAGAAACTGTGCCAGTGCCAGTACTATGCTATTTGTATTTTTTATTTAGGGCATAATGATGAAACTATACATACTTCATAGGCTATCCCCGCTAATTTAAGATACCAGAAAAGCATGATGGAAACTACACTACCTGGATTTAGCTAAGTGAATAGGTGCATGCCTTCTATCAGATCATTTTTAGGTTCAGCAATGTTATGTCCTCAAAAAATGTGGTCAGCTGCCTACCTGAATATACTGAATGACCAGGTTTTTCCATCAATAGATTTTTTTCTTCCCTGATGGCACATTGGGCATATTCCAAGATGACAATGCCAGGATTCATCGGGCCCAAATTGTTCAGGGACCATGAGACATAATTTTCACACATGGTCACCACAGAGTACAGACCTTAACCCAACTGAGAATCTTTCCACAGTGGCCAAACTCTCCCAACCTCACTACAAGATCTTGGTGAAAAATGAATGCAACTCTGGACTGAAATAAATGTGACATTGCATAAACCAGGGGTGTCAAACTCAATTTCATCGCGGGCCGCATCAGCATTATGGCTACCCTCAAAGGGCCAGTTGTATCTGTAAGACTATATATATGTATCTATTCTTTATCATATTAA